TGGAAAGGACAAGACCACTTTTTCATCGAGAAAACAAGAATACCTTGCTCGAAACTATGATCAACTACCTTAATCCTGCTTAATACTTATTGCAATCTCAAATCATTCGCTGAATTGGATAAATACATTAAAGCGTCATTCAAAGAGATTCAATTTTATAACTCCCGCAAAAAAATTTCCGTTCCGACCTCAGTTCGTTACAGTGTATGTGTATTCCCCCTCGTCGTCCTTCTTTCTCATACCGATTGTATACTGCACTCATGACCCGTAATGTGACGACGGCTAAAATTGAAACTGTCACTCCCCCGACGTAACTTAAAACCATCTCATTATTCAGTAAATGGCATGTACCAGTGGTCTATTATGACCCATAATGTGACGACGGCAAAAATTGAAACTGTCACTCCCCCGACGTAACTTAAAGCCATCTCATTATTCGGAAAATGGCATGTACCAGTGGTCTAAAAGTTACGGTCTAGCATCCTTGAAGTGTAGTCACAGGACTTGCACAATATGTCAAACGTTTCTGGCCAAAACTAACGAAACAAGGCAGTGGTTTTCACTTAGCGCTTGCTTGCACTCCCATACCAATCCTCTTATGACCCATAATGTGACGACGGCTAAAATTGAAACTGTCACTCCCCCGACGTAACGTAAAGCCATCTCATTATTCGGAAAATGGCATGTACCAGTGGTCTAAAAGTTACGGTCTAGCATCCTTGAAGTGTAGTCTCAGGACTTGCACAATATGTCAAACGTTTCTGGCCAAAACTAACGAAACAAGGCAGTGGTTTTCACTTAGCGCTTGCTTGCACTCCCATACCAATCCTCTTATGACCCATAATGTGACGACGGCTAAAATTGAAACTGTCACTCCCCCGACGTAACTTAAAACCATCTCATTATTCAGTAAATGGCATGTACCAGTGGTCTATTATGACCCATAATGTGACGACGGCAAAAATTGAAACTGTCACTCCCCCGACGTAACTTAAAGCCATCTCATTATTCGGAAAATGGCATGTACCAGTGGTCTAAAAGTTACGGTCTAGCATCCTTGAAGTTTAGTCTCAGGACTTGCACAATATGTCAAACGTTTCTGGCCAAAAGTAACGAAACAAGGCAGTGGTTTTCACTTAGCGCTTGCTTGCACTCCCATACCAATCCTCTTATGACCCATAATGTGACGACGGCTAAAATTGAAACTGTCACTCCCCCGACTTAACTTAAAGCCATCTCATTATTCAGAAAATGGCATTTAACAGTGATCTAAAAGTTGCGGTCTAGCATCCTTGAATTTTAGTCTCAGGACTTGCACAGTGTGTAGTAATGCAAACGTTTCTGGCCAAAAGTAACGAAACAAGGCAGTGGTTTTTACTTAGCGCTTGCTTTCTCTCCCATACCAATTATATAATCTTCTTATGACCCATAATGTGACGACGGCTAAAATTGAAACTGTCACTCCCCCGACGTCTTAAAACCATTTCACTAATTAATAAATCCCATTTACTAGTGATCGACAACGTTTGGGATTATTTTTAAACTTCGGCGAAAGAATCTTTACATACAAGGGTTTCGCTCGTTGCAATATGCCAGATCACGTCCCTCACTCAACCTCCAAGCACATACCATTTATAAGGTTGCACTGAAAAAATATTATTGTGTTTTCCGTACATCTCAATTTTTTTGTATTATTTTTTTTCACAGCAATAGCAAGGTTTCACTTACCTGAAATTCTTAGCCAAGTGACTCCGCAGTACATAAGTTCTATCTTCTCGAAGCCTTATAATTACAGCTGCATTGATTTTGCATAAGGACAACAGAAATTTGTGACTTTTCGTTTTTTTCTTAATTAGCCTCTAAAAGCACAATTCGATTCATTCTGTCCTAAAGAATGAACGAAGTGAACCTCAGAGCGCCACTAAAGCGCTCAGCATGGAAATACTAGACCACGTGCAGTAGGGACGCGTTGTGATTATAATAACTGCACATGCTCTACAGAGGCGCTGCTTCACGTACAGTGATGTTCAGATTCTGTTACAGCCGATTTATTGCGATGACCTTGCAGGTTGCTAGGGAATTTGTCAATCTATCCTAGTATTGAGCACATGGTACTTACTGTTTTAGTAAATAACCAGTAAGGTAAGTCCTGTAATTGCTTGGGTCTGTGTACGGTGTAATCAATATAAACTTTTTTACTTTTATGAAAAACCTGTGACTGTATTGTATCGCTAATCTGAATAAAATCGTACAGCAGGGTTTTCAAAAGTCTGCACGTTTACTCAACATTGCCAACGCTTTGTATTTAGTAGCAGAGGTAAATTTATGGAGGGCACGTGCCCGCCCTCACCCCGGAATTTTTCCGGAAGTGGGTACTCTAAAAAAATAAAGGAGGGATTATTGTTTACATATTACATATTATTGTTTACATATTATTGTTTACATAAAACCAAATAAATTAAAAGTTTACATATTGCTTACTGGTCACAGTTTGAATGTAACCAGCTTTGCAAAATACACGCAAATTTTCGTTGAATTTCTAGCGTTTTTTTGCGGTAAATCCGACAGTTAGCTACTCGGCTTCGGCCTCCGCGCTCCGCGCGAAGGTTGCTTCTTATTGTACTTGTATGCGCACGGAATTAGCATTAAGTTCATCGCTTCGCAATATGCACACGTGTTATTACGGATATTTACTTATTTTTGAATAAACAAACCATACTCCAAGTAGTGCATTACAAGAAATTCGAAATATTTTATTTATTTTTATAGAATTTTTACCAATTTCCTCAATGAAAACGTCTTCCAGCTTTGCGCTTCGCGCGAAAGTTTACCTTTCTGTAGATTCTATACATGCTACGGCCTTAATACATGCTCTTTAGATTTCACAGCAAAAAATTTGGAACTATAGTACATCTACTATTTTTAATGGAATTTCTAGCAATTCTTGAAGGAAAATCTCTTGTTTGCTTCGCGCGAAAATAGGTAATTGTTGTATTTGCTTTACAAGCAAACTAAAATTAAAATGTTTTTCAAAAAAATTTCAATGTAATATTCGCAGCAATAAGTAATTATAAGTTTACAGTCTTTTTGGGTTGCCGGGTTCTCAGTGCCCCTCCCAACCAAACAACTTGAATTCGCCAATGTTTAGCGTATTCAGTAGTAATTAATTTTACTTTGCAAAGCGTTATGCAGCTATAAATTATATACACAAGTTACCCACGGATAAAAATAGATAAGGAAACTTTTTTAAACTTCGTCTGGCTTAATTTTTTATATTTTGTAGTGTGTTATTTCTTGTACATTAAAACATACGAAATGGTTGTGAACTTGTGCGCCCCGGTTGTTTAGGCACACAGAAATTGGCTTCGCGGACCCTAACGTTAATGGCTAGAATTCTCTAATTTTATTTTTTCAGCTTTTTGTTGTTTCTACATGATTTCTTTTTCCTCGATTAACCATTGAGGTTGCAGGATAGTAGAACTAGAGAGAGAGAGCTGCCAAAAAAATTCAAAAGTTGAGCCAAATGCTGTCCTGCTTTTAGGCGCGCTTTAGAAACTGCTACTTGATGACTGATACAGTAAAGTTATCAACTTACAGTAAAGTTGATACAGTAAAGTTATAGCTTAATTACTCACACTGCATAAAGCCAGTCGGTTTCCGGTGCACTCTACTAAAGTCCGCTACAGATACTGCAAAACTGATTCAAAAAATATGTACAGCAAGAATGTTAATATAGCAGGTGCTCACGCCTGTAACATCCACCCGCCAAATATATATATATCAACGTTAAGGTTAACGAAGAAACGTTAAGGTTGTTATGCAGTCGTTCTTGAGACAGATGCTTACGAATTTACGCTAGTTTTCGCACCATTGCGTGGATTTGCTCGGATTACGGTAAGGCAGAAATCCATCACGCACAAATTGAAACAAAATGTGCCCGGTATGGTGTGCCGATCACTGGTTTCGGCCGGTATCCCAGCGAAGCTTGGACCCGCGCGGTATTTCCCACACGTCCGATCGTCGTCCGGACGGTTGCACGACGTTTGCCCGAAAACGTGGCATGTGCCTAGCATGAGACGTGACCTGCGTCGACACAGTCGCCCCATGGCCTATCAAGTCCACTTCAGCAGCTATGGGATCCGCCGCCGCCAAGGCCGAAGACAAGAAAAGTAAACTATACGCGTACCTCAAAGGCAGATACATTTTCGCTCCTCTAGCTTTCGAGACACTCGGGTCTGGGGATAGATCGGCATCTGGCTTAGTGAAGGAAACCGGCAAGCGACTACGGCAGCACACTGGTGAACCTCGCTCCCATGAATTCTTACGCCAGCGTCTATCGATCGAAATTCAGCGAGGCAATGCAGTGTCCGTTCTTGGAACCATTGGTGAATCGGATTATTTATGAGAAATTTTGTTCTTGTAATTAATTCTGTTTATGTTACAAAATTCGCAGTGTGACTGGCTTGTGCTGATAAAAACAATTTTTGCCGTATTTAGAATTCGCGAACCGAACATTCGCATAGTTCGTGTGAGACCTCCGAACAACATGGACATACTATACAACAGTAACTTGATGTCGCGATCGTGGGATATCCAACGTCGTTGGCCCAACTGTGCTGTCGTATTAGAAGGACTGCTCAACCTCCAGTAACGTGACTGCGTACGGGAGTAGTTGGAGTTGTAGTAGGAAGCCAAGTCAAGAAAAGAACTGGAGAAACCGCACCAGTATCTCGGCTTGTGTTTATTATCAGCTATGCAGCTTCAGTGCAGTTATTATCAGCTTCTCGAAAGATACAACACAATTAAATACACTATAACACAGGCAGATACAATACAGACTGTATAATTGCTGTTTAAACGCCAGATCGATAGAAACACATTCCCCTCGCGGCTAGCGATAGTAGTCAACGAAAACGTATATTTCACAATCTTGTCAAAGACGTTAACACTTGTCGCAAAATTCGAAAGTGATTGATTTTCAAATGCCGGTGTGAACCGATCAGCGCGGTAACCACGACGAGAAGTTAACTGCATCAATACATATTCGCCAATACTTAAGATTGGGCAAAGTTAAAAATTATAGCAATCCGAATTACACGTAATTTGCTTCCTGTGAAATGATAAGCTTAATACTATGACATGGCTATTCGGTTTACGATGGAGAGATGTTCGTCACTTCGGCTTCCTTTATTTTGGACATGTTGATATGACTTATGAATTTACTTTGATCGTTGCCTTTATCGTTTTCCCAATTCATCTTGATGTTTTAGAGCAAGTTAACGCTTTCCGATGAAATCATCCCACCATGTTTGTTAAACAACTTCACGTTTCCTCGGCGTTTTTGTTATGCGGTATGGTTATGTATTACTGTAAAAAATGTCGAACTACGTCCTCTGGTACATGTGTATTGCCCCGATGGACGGTTAAAAGGAATATTGCCGAAATGCGAGCGAACGCGCACATTTGCTATCTTCGCAACACTGACAGAAGCTGACAAGATTGAGAAACATAAAGCTGTTTTTGTTGCCTAACCTGCAGTGGCGAATTCAACGAAGGGGCATGAAGGGCTTCCCTTTACATTTGTTTAAAAGTTTGGTATTTCAAGCAAGCTGGGTGGGGGAGGGAGGGTTCCAATTTTCAATTTTTGCGAAAAATTGGAAAATTTCCAATTACGGTTACGGTTGCGAACTGATGTTCTTGCGATTGTCGGCGTGAAATCACTCTTTGCGCTCCGCGTGGAACTACGTAGCACCTTACTGCACTTTAACTGTCCTTAAATCTGTAGAAAATCTCAGCAGGGAATAGAGCGTATTTCATCTTTTCATCCGGTTTAGTAAACCATATACATATCGTAACGTATACGTTGATGTGTCTCAACAATCTGTTACTCTTATTTTACATTTCGAACAACCGGTCACCCGTGCAGCGTTTTACATGAATAACTGCTGATCGCAGTAGCAATAACGTGTATGTATGTACAATAAAAATAAATTTTGATTTTAATCCCGAAGTAGCTTTGCGGATATTTCCGGTTCCTGAAGGTACGAGAGGCAGGAACAAGGCACATAAAGATCAGGGTGGTCAAATATTCAGAACATAAAGTAAAACTGACCGGTTATTGAGAAATGCCAACGCGCAAAGAATGTTTTTGTACGGCCATTTATTCGCACCATAGAAAGGACCACTATCCCGCCCCACGAGAGAGTCAGCCCTGGACTTGTGACATACGTACTGAAGGTACCGGTTTTAATTCTACTGGACATGCTGTAAAAAGTGCAAAGCGCACAGGAAAAGTGCATAGCGCAAAGCAAGCCGACGCGCGGGAATTGCTGTAGTTAACGTAAACTATCCCAACCTGGCGGCGCAGGGTATGCATATTCGTGATCCAGGATCACCTAAAAACGTACTCAATATTCTAAACTAAAACATCTGGAAATTTCTAGATGTTACCGGCTAATTTTAATTGCCAGACGAGTAAGGGCAGACGCCACAGATAGTAACAAAGTGACAACCACTTAACCCCTACAAATTTCACAGTACGTCGCCGCAGGATATTAAGCTCCTTTTGCATGTACTGTATTCGCTCGCACATCTTGAACCACAGAGTCTGTGTACGGGAAAAACGCGCATTCAATATACACACTCTAACCGGGCCAAATGCGCGATTCGCGATTTGATAAATTTCTGATGTCTTTGCAACATCTGCTCTGGAGAACTTCTTGAATATTAAAAAAAATTAGAGCTCTAAGAATTTTTAATCATGCTTATGCTCGAAAGCAGCCATTAACATACAGCTTTGCCGTAAGCACGAGTTACAAACTGATTTGTTGTGGTTTTGGGGGTGCCCCTGGAGGGGAGGTACGTTCAGCGTCAACATTCTTGATGGCGATGAACCACAGACAATTCGAGCTTTCAGCTAGAGAACCTTTTTTTCCAGAGTGAACTGCCATTTAAATGAAAAGTCTTGATTTATTGGATAAATTCACAAGAAGAACTGTTCATCTTGAAACCAAATGAGCAATATTTCGTAGTCGTGCATTTTGCCCGGTTAGAGTGTGTATACTGAATGCGTGTTTTTCCCGTACACACACTCTGTGGTTCAAGATGTGCGAGCGAATACAGTACATGTCCTTTTGCTCTGTAGATCGGACATGGAGAACTAACGAATGGTGATAATTGTTCGTTGGTTGGCCTTCACAGTCTCCCGGATCCATTCATATCTAGATATTACTGTACTGTTAACTGTAGTACTTGAATTTAGAAATAATGCACTGCCTTACGACATTGTGTGTTTGTTTATGGCTTGTACTGCTGTGATCAATAAGTAATCTCGCGATCTCTTGTAATCTTTTATGCGATATGCTAACATCTGCTGCGTTTGGTAAACATGTGCTGATCCTTGCAGTTGCGCTTGCGCTCCATTATCCAGCTGTATGCAGTGAAACCAGAGCGTCACCAGAACCCGTGCTATCACACGAGTGCTTCAACAGGACGGAGCTGCTGGCTTCTTGTGACATGGGAACCAAGGCCCAGCCGGACAACAGCAGTGCCGTCATTGCAGCATGCTCGCAGCAGCCCGAGACTACATGGTACCGGCGCTACGACGGCGCTAACGGCCCTTTTCATGAATCTACTCGCTTTCAGTTCGATTTAGTTGCAGAGATCGGCAGCTTTAATGGTGCGTCTTTCTTAAAATTTAAAGCTGTTTTAGCTTCAGAGTAGCGTAATGTTTGTATCTTTCCGCGCTCAAACTGTGCCTCTGACTACTGAAACTCTGACCCTAAATACTCCAAATCCGGCTGTGACCGCAACATTTTGAATACCAAACCTCCGATTCAGCCCAATAAAAAAAGGAACTTCAGTTTTTTAGGTTTTACTTTGGTTTCTCAGGTTATTCATGATGTTATCTTAGGTTTCCTAGGTGGGGTGCTTTATTCACTTGTGGTACAAGGTGTTAGGCATTAATTAAGAACATCACAATTTTACAACATTAAAACTTCATTAAACTTTTCCGCCCCTTCCTTTGTTCCCATAACCGAAGCCGCGTTCCCCCGCTGTACCTCCAGTGACAATCTTTCACGTAAAAATTCGTAGGAACGCTTTTCTCCTGTCTGCTGTTCCAGCCGCTTGCCCAGTTATTTGATTATGGCGTTAGCGGCCGGTCCCCAAGGGCCCATTGTTTCAAGTAAGAATATACCTCCCGCTCAAGTGCGCATATAGCCCGACTTCTTTTCCTCCGCTTCCAAAGCACTTGTGCCGGCGTTTGCCGCCGTGGATTTAATGTGAGACGGCGCAACAGTGTCCACACAAGTGACATCCCACGCTAGGTTAATCACATAGTTTATTTTTTCTTGGGTTATATTGTCGGGTCGGCCAACTTTACCTTTGCCCGCCCTTTGCGTTTGTCTTTACAGTTTGCCTTTTCTCCTTTACCTTTACCTTTGCCATTGCCGCCGTGATTACCTTAACCGTCAAAAAGTTATCGTTAAAAAAAACTTTCAAAAGTGCTCTCGTTAATCTACCTTCTAAAATTAAATTATCGTCGCCATCAGCAGCTTCAAAAATGAGACTTTTCTATGATAATTGATGCATTAACCTTAAGATGCATTTTCGTGCCGCCAGTCTGGAAAAAGTTTATCCAGATTGCCGGCAAAAAAATCGTAAGTTTTTAAAAAAGTTAACCATTCACTGATTATACGGCCGAAGGCGACAGCGGAAATAGGCGGCCTACAGAGTAGTTACGCAAGGCATTTCCTCTAATTAGAATTTTCCCATTTGTATAGCGAATTATTGAATAAACAAAAAATTTGCAATTTTGTTCTTCTTGTTTTGAACCCTATAAAAAAAGATACTACTGATGTCACATTTTTGCAGCAAAATTTACTCTAACAAATGCAATAAAACAACATTAAAACCATCGAAGTGCAGGATGCGTTGTACCGATACGAGTATTGAAACTAATTCATTAGTTTGATTTTATTTTAACTTTTGTTAACAAATTTTACGGAGTTTCTAAAACACCAAGAAGAGGAAAGCCATTGCTAGTCAGCGAGTTCCTTTTATACAGTACAGCGACAGTATTCGCACAAGTTAAAATTTCACAATCAGCGATCCCAGGATAAAATTATTACTCACTAGCAGACCCCGCGCAAATTGCGCGGAATAAGTCCGCGAAGGATTATTACCTTTTCAACGCTATACGCAAAACTATAAAATAACAATTGCAAATGTAATTTTAATGAGCGAAACCTAGCGCAATTTAATTTATTTCCACTGGCAAATATTTTAATGGCAATTGTTTTAATGGTTAAAGTCTCGTTGATTCGTTGGCTCTGATTGCGGAATAACGTCAAGCGAAGAAATTTGAAAGTTTCCCCTCAAAAATTTGCCGTTTCCATGTACACCTTATTAGTTCTACAGACAGTAAATAAATAATACATAAAAAAATTCAAAGATACCCTGTCTGCCACTCCCGATTTCCGGCCGCATTTTCCTAATCGGCGCGGGCGCCCCGCTACAGTACTGTTTTACCACAATCACTGCCGAAAGCTGTCATTGTCCAACTTCCTGTGTTTTCTTTTGTTTTGTTAGGAAATCATATATAAAAAATCTTCGAAAAATAGAATCAAAATTGGCGTGGTTCTCCGTAAAGCTTTTTGAATGTTGGACCAAAGCGTTGGAATTTATAACAAAATGAAGTCGTTTAATTTTCGCAAAGGTTACGTACAGGTATGCAATTCTTAATGGAATTTTGAATTTCATAGATAATTTTCATAATGTAGAATTTTTCCAAGATGGCTGACCGACTAATTCCTACTGACCAATCAATTACCTAACTATAACCGTGTTTTGCAAATATGTGTCCCCCCAATGACAGAATTCCCGCAATACCGTTCCGACGTTCCCTCCCGGCCTCCCTTACCCTTTGTTTCGCCATGATTTTGAAGCTCTGAAGTATTAGACAAATTTATACTATCCCAAAACCCGTTACCCCCCCTCCCCCCCACCCATATGTAAGAACCTGCTGGTTACATACAGTCTGGCCAAGACGAACAAAATACAACGAAACATCCGCGTTAAAGTGCGTGTGCCGACGTATAGTGAAGTTGTCAACGCGATGAAAGTTTGGGAAAGATACGTGTACGCCAATAATTCTGCTTGTTCCGATTTTTTGCATAAAGCGCAGGACATTTTATCTAAAGAGGTTGCGACGAAAAGCTGGCTAATGCAGCGAAAGCAAAGCAACAGACGCTAGATTCTTTTTTTGTTAAACTGTAAGTTTTTGTTCAGTTGTTAGAGAAGGGCACAGTGCATATTCTAATCTTTACTGAAGCAATAAGCTTACATACTGCACATATGTAATAGTTCTGCTATATTAACTGGGGGGGCGAAAATTTTTACTACCCCTGGGGGCAGTTCTGTAAATTAAATACACCTGGATAATAAATACGGGATTTGCGGAACCGTCGGTGTATTTAGTTACCAGGTTTTACTGTACTGTAGTTAGCAAGTTGACTGTGGAGTCTTTCAAAATAGCATTTTTTAAACTTCATTTGCTTTTGAAAATGACTTTTTAGAAAATTTACTGATTCAGGGTTATCACTACAGAGTCATAACGGTAATGGCTGTTGTGAACTGTGGTGTGCTAACGAACCTGATAGCGAACTCAGTAAGCGAATGCGTTGTTTGCATTTGCACAGCCTCTCGCACTCGAGGTGGCAGTTATAGCGTTAACAGGTTTTTGACGTTCCCGTAGGTTTTGCATGTTAGGTTTTTGAATTTGTTCTCAAAACTGGTTTTGGTTTTCACAAAACGGACTTTTTTGGGCTCATCTACACGCCTTGCGTTATCGAATGATATACAGAGATCTAAGTTTCGCTTACCGTGTCGCTCAGAAAAGGGAGACAGACACGATTTTTATGCACCCACCTTCTTCTTCTTTTATTATAAAGGATAACGGTTCATTTTTTGTACGTGTGTACCATACATATATGCACGTGCGACGTCGAAATCGGAAAACTGCCAGGGGGAAGGTAATCACGGTGGCAACGGCAAAGGTAAAGGTAAAGTAGAAAAGGGCAAACTGAAAAGGCAAAGGTATAGCGGGGACGAAGGCAAAGTTGAAAAAGGCAAACTGTAAAGGCAAAGGCAAAGGGCGGTCAAAGGTAAAGTAGGCCGACCCTTATATTGTCCGTTCTTAGATTTCTCGAAGTGCGCATAGACTTGACGTAGATTTCTAAGGTTTCTTGGATTCGTAGGTTCTTCTTAGGTTCTTCGGCCATTTTTAGGCCTCTTAGAATTTCTAGCAAAGCTTAAGAAACCTTGGAACCTATTAATAAACGGAAAACCCCTTTACTTAAGAACCTAAAAACGACTAGAATAACCTAAGAAACCGAAGGACATACGAACATAAGAACGGTAGCACGACAACTCTATGACCTTCATTTCGATGCCCGACAATTTGATGACCGACGTGTTGCTGACTACCACAACTTGCTGACCGACAGTTCGCTTTTTTACAAACTGGCTGACCGACATCTTGCTGAAACTAATTTGCTGAACGACAGCTTACTTGTCGGTCAGCGAAATGTCGGTAATCGACAACTTGCTGACCGACAACTTGTAGAAGACGAAAACTAGCTGACCGACAATTCGCTGACCATTTCAGCGCACATCAGCGATATTTACGCGAAAACTAGAATCTTCGTTGGTTTCTTAAAAAGGAAGCAATGCTATGACAGTTATGAGTGAAATCTAACTTTTTGCCATTTATTACGCCGTATTAAGTTCACGAGTATGTTATTGTCTCAGCCAATATTAATTACTTATTAATAACTGCTCAAAATGATTTAATGATTACACCGGTTTTTTCAGTTTCTCAGATTTCTTAGGTTTCATAGATTTTTTAGATTTTTTGGGTTTTTTAAGTTTCTCAGGTTTCTTGGGTTCTTAGGTTTCTTAGGTTTTTTAGTTTTCGTAGGTTTCGTAGATTTCTTAGGTTTCTTAGGTTTCTTAGGTTTCTTAGGTTTCTTAAAAAACTTAAAAAAACCCAAAAAATCTAAAAAATCTATGAAACCTAAGAAATCTGAGAAACTGAAAAAACCGGTGTAATCATTAAATCATTTTGAGCAGTTATTAATAAGTAATTAATAAGTAATTAATATTAATAAGTAATCTTGGGTTTCTTAGGTTTTTTAGGTTTCGTAGGTTTCGTAGATTTCTTAGGTTTCTTAGGTTTCTTAGGTTTCTTGGGTTTCTCAGGATTCTTAGGTTTCTTAGGTTTCTTAGGTTTCTCAGATTTCTCAGGTTTCTTAGATTTCGTAGTTTTCTTTTGTTTCATAGATGTTTTATGAAATTTAATCGTACGCGCTCGCAGAAAAAAGAAGAAACGGACGACTGGAATTCTAAGATTGCTGCATAAGCGGGCAGCTGTTAATAGCAAGAGAATTGGTTGTGGTATCCGATCATAATCACCCAAATTGAGGGTACCGTTGAGTGAGCTGAAATGTTTAATGAGCTTTTGTTTCTTTAAATGTTTTTAAAACGTGTTTAGGTGAAGTTTTGAAATAAAAAGGCGTGATTAAAAAATTGAGTTTCACAAGGATTTGGTGGGTAACAGAATAAATTTGTGGTCAGCGAGTTGTCGGTATTTTCATAAAACGTCCGTCAGTAAAATGTCGGTCAACAATTTAGTAAGTAAGCAAATTGTCGGGTAAACATTCTGTCGGTCAGCAAAATGTCGTCAGCAAATCGTCGGTGTCAGCGAACTGTCGTTCAGCAAAATGTCGTTCAGCGATTTGTTGTTTCAGCAAACTGTCGGGTCAATATTTTGTCGGTCAGCAAATAGTCGTCAGCAAGTTGTCGGTCAGCAAGATGACCGTCAGCGAGTTGTCGGTCGACTTTAGACCTAAGAACCTATGGAAGTTAGGTTCCATGAGGAACTTAAAGAACCTAAGAACATCAGAATTCGGGCGGTCAGAGCCATGGTTTTTGAGTTTAGAGTTGGGTGCAAGAGTTTTAGTGGTTAGAGTCAAAGTCTCAGCGGTCAGAGGCAGACTTTGAGCAGTCATAGACAGAGTTTTTGCGGTCAGAGTCTGAACCAGAGCTTGAGCGCGGACCTCTGTAGGGTCATTCTAAAATGTTTTGGGTGTGTAAATTAACCTCCCGGAAAGCGACGATAACTGGCTTAGTTTACACCTGAGCACCTAGCAGTCTCTTGTCGACATCGTGCAGATAAGAAATGCGGTAGATTTCGAACCGCGACGAGAATGGGAAAAGTAACAAAGTGAATTTTCTGGGCTATGGGCAATGGGGTTCTAGTGTTCTGTTTTCGAAGCGTTGGGAAAAATGTCCGAAAATGTCCAGAGGTTATCGTAGTGAATGTCTACCTCTTTTCTTATTGGACAGACACATAAAAAAATGGCGAAAAGTGCCCGTGCAAGCATTCCGTTTAGCAGCCCCGGTTTACTCTTTGCGCTTAACTGATACCCTCGTTTTCTCGCTCATTATGCACCCACTTAACAACGCAGTTTTATCCACGTAAATTTTTGATTCAACGGTTTTTTTTATAATTCCAGTAGAACTGCATATCTTCCACTCCGAATCCTCGATAACACTATAAGTGCGGACTGCGGGATATATTTAGTCAACTCATTTTCTTGTCTACGTCCACCGCGCCCTACCTGTTGATATTAAATACGGTAAACATTATTAATTATGATTGCCAACCACATCATTGAACGACAGCGACCACGAAGGCCACTGGGAGAGGGTATTGCACTTGTGGAGATCGAAAAGTGTTACTTTACGCTCTTCGTGGCTTCAGACAACTTTTTCTCATCGCCATCACCTTGCTGCGGCATAACCCTGCGCTTGATGCAGGTCATACTTTGTAAAACAAAAATTAATCGATCATATTTCTTTATCATAATACTTCATCGTAGTTGAATTTTGGAAAATTGCATAACTGCGATAATTGTAATGTACCCAGTGGCTGCCTTCCTAGCGCCAACATCTTGCTTCATATGAAATTGTAATACAAGTATGTATGTAAAATTATGTTCTACCTGTACCTCTTGCACGGTGAATTTATCACTCTGCTTGCACACATTCTGTATATGCGCAGAATGTGCAGGCGCGTGAGCGTTGCACCATCCACGTTTCGACCCACTTAAAGCGCAGATGAATGCGGTTCAGATTTCTCTGTGCGATTGTCTAAATTGTAACTGTTAACAAAAGTCCTTTTTTTGACCTTAGAGAGCGTGATCGCTGTTTCGCGTTGCACCCCTAATCCAGACTGGAGTCCGACAGTGCGATTTGATGCGGCACTAACCACCGCCAAAATTTATCAGGAACCTGATGACTCTGTGATAATTTCCTTTTGGTATCGAAAATCGTACGGGCCGTCCAATATTACCGAATTTTATGACATTTTCTGCCATGTTAATTATTATAATATACAAGGGGATATAACGGATATAACTTCGATTTGGTCGAATACCTATTCGATTGCTCCCGATGAATGGCACTATGTCGAGAGGAAAATTTTGGATAACGGCCTTAGCAACCCTCACTGGGAGCACCCCGACCTTGTGTCTCCGTTTATTAGTTTTACCTTCATTACACGGCACAGCGGTGGATGCCGTCCCGATCAGATCGGCGCGAAAGCCATAGCACTGGACGACATCCAAATTTTTGCAGGTCAGCAGGCATAGACGATACGTTACTAACACAAGCTTTTTAAATGCTTTGCAAATCCATACGGGGCTTTAGTTGGGCTAATTAAGTACGTTATTGCAGCGCATCAGTGCACATCAACAGCACTTACGACTACTATCGTGACTACAACGGCTGACACCGTGAATTCGGTAACTTCTTCAGTGGATCATCATACCGCCTCCTCGAATATTGTCACCGCTGCGGCAGACATATCGTCCTCAACCACAATCGGTACAATTAACTGCAGGGCTTCGTAATGCGTCCATAAATCATACAAATTTCCGCACCAGAGCAGTTGATGTGGGGTTTAGTGATCTGCGTTACTCGATCGCTAATGTTCCGCTTTACACAGTGTTTCAAAGTTTCAGGAACTTCCGCTACACTCTCCCCTTTTTCTGTGGAACTGCAGATGGTTACCAACAAGACCGCGTATCCGGACAACTTGACGTACTATACCCAGTCGCCACACAACGTTCTCAGTGTCATTCAGAATGCCGTGGGCAACAACCCGATCCAGCTAACTTTCAGTGATGTTCTGGTGATTGCGAATTTCTTTGAAGAGTTCGCCCTAACAGATACACCACCCAAACTACCAGAAGGTGCACAGCAAGATGCAGTGAACACACTGCTGCAGATCGTTGGTCTGGTAGTCAACGCTGAAGAGTCTGGTAAATTGGATGCGCCAGTAACCAGCAGCGAAGGATATGGAGCGGCAGCAGCCATCTATCAAGCGCTGGAAAACATGTTCCATAATTTACCTCCTAACGACGAACCATACGTATTCAATCATAATTCTTCCGTTGCGTATGTTTACGCTGTCTTGATCAATAGTTCCTCCCAGTTTGAACACTTCAACTTCACCACGAAACTGGAAATTAAAGTATTCGATCCTGAGACGCGGATAATAGCTATCGCGGATGACAGCTCCGTATCAGTGGCTGGCGTCGCGTTTAACACCGAAGCATTGCGCGAAGCCTTTATTGAAATAAGTAAGTGAATCTTTACCGGGTCTATTGCAGACTCTTACTATCATTGTTCAGTGCCGTTGCATTTACTCGTATAACCACGTTATGCAAGAGAATTTAAACCGCTTTCCAGAACAAACTGCGCATACAACACCAGTCAAGTTTGCCTTTTCTCTCTCGGCGGTGCTATCTTTCAAATTCGCAACGTTTATTCCCACAAATGAACTACGAGAAAGGTCAAGCCCGATAGTTTTACTGGCATCACTGGCTCAAGGAACAAGTCTCGAGAAACAAGATATGATTACCCTTCGACACAATGTGGATAAATTGTTCAGTGTAAGTTAATCATTACGAACCAGAAATCATAGTACACGAAAGAACAAGTTGTAACGCTTCAGTATCCATCTGGTGCAAGACGATATCACCGGTGCACCTACCTCAACTACACGTCCAAGCAATGGTCTGAAGACGGTTGCCGAATGACGACTAAACATGTTAAATGGAACAGCACAACCGTGGAATGCACCTGCGATCATTTAACACCGTTCTCGCTACTGCTTACTTTGTGTGGCAGTTTATCGAAATCCTTTGTTCCAAAGGATAAGCCACTCACTTTTGATTTGGCCATAGTGACCACAGCGACGACCAGTGTGGCGGCCGTGTGCTGCCTGCTGGCTCTTATAATCGTTGTGTAAGCGCCGTAGCTTAATTCTCTTAAGGGAAGTGGCCCGCTACTAAACTGAAAATTCGTTATATGCACGAAGACTTCGCGCACATTCAAACACATTTTTGGCGTTGTATTACGCCACTGTGTAGCCAAATTACTTGTAAGTATTAGCTTGAAATTCGCTTTGGGCACTCAACATCCGCTTGGGAAGTTATGCGCCTTATGGCTGTGGAGAAAATTCCAAAAGGTTTACATGCATCTAGGTGTACCAAAAGTCTCATAAGAGACTGTTTTTTTTAATTTTGCTTGAGAACGACACCGATCCACTGTTCTACAGATAGTATACTTTTTAAATTTTGAAATGGATTTTAAAAAGTTTTAATTTGTTTTTAAAAATTTGTATTAAAATGCTGCAATTCTGGTTCGGTATAGATACGATCGTCTTAATTATGTATTTACGTGCACAATTTAAAAAAGGTCGGTCCATAACGAGACTTTTGGTACGCCTAGAGGCATTTAAACTTCTTGGAGCCATCACAGACATCACTTCCGAACCGGATATTGCGCGCACAAACGGTTTTCACGCCAAACGGCCAAATCATCTGGCTACAGAATGTCATAAAATAATGCGATAAAGTGTTTGCGAGTGCGCGAATGAAAGTTTTCGTGCGGTTACATGAGGAGCAGATTCCGGAGCACTTCCATCATTAACATTGTGCAAAAGTTTTGCGTATTCAGGGGGAAGATTTGGCGTGGTCGCGTGCTCTACAACGAGGTAACATTTACCCGCATGGGTTTGTGGATGGCGCTATTCGGCATGTATCTCTTCACCATCTTCTCCCAGCTCATGGTCCACGCTCCTCAGCTGTGCGGACAAAAGTTCTGCTTGGCCAGCGGAATTTTGGTGCACTGGTTCACGCTGATGAGCGTGGCGTGGACAGTGGTGCAAACTGTCGATGTCATGCAGATTATACTGGACCCGGTACAACGCTGGAAGAACAGGCACCGTGGATTCAGAGTGACCACTTGGTTGGCTGCCACCTGTGAGCATTTTCGCTTCTTATTCCATTATGACCGATCATTTATGTGTGTACAAGCCTGTCGCGTAATTTCTATCGCATTGACACAGCGAAAAATACAAATTTAAGGGATTTGGCCCGGTGTGCATAGCACCAACTTCGTGTACATTGACGGAAACGTTCGCTGTCGCGCACTCCCAAACACTTTTTTGCGTTGTTTTATGACATTTTGTAGTCAAAAGAATTATATACGTAGTTGTGAAATCCGTTTGCGCGCGCAAATTCTGGTTGTGGAGTTATAAGGGTAACAAAATTCCAAAAAGTTTAAATTCATTCAGGTGTACCGAAAAGTTTAATTGTGGACCGCTCCCTTTCGAACTTTGCATGTAGATGCACATAACCATGAAAATTGTTTTGACACGGATCCACTGTGCTAGCATGTTTTTCAAATTTTAAAATGAATTCAAAAATTTTAAAATTCGAAAAAAATCGTGGAAGTCTGGATCCGTACCAAAACAATCTTCATGGTTATGTACATTTACGTGCAGAATTTGAAGGTCCATAATGATAGGTCGATAATGAGACTTTAGGTACACCTGAATGCATTTAATCTTTTTGAAATTTTGTTACCATCATAACTCCACAACCGGAATTAGAGCGCGCAAACGGATTTCACAACTACATATAAAATTCTTTTGACAACAAAATGTCGTAAAGCAATGCAAAAAAGTGTTTGGGAGTGCGCGACAGCGAAAGTTTTCGTCAATGTACACGAATTTGGTGCTATGTACCGGGCCAAGTCCCTTAAGGGTTTTGTCACGCTTCATACAGCGACTGTTTACGCTCTACATGCATTTGGCAAGGCTGATGCAAGCGAAATATCGATCCAACTATAATTTATAAACTACCGATGTAAGTAACAAAATTTAACTTTTCTCCGTTCCCTTTAAGCATCAATAATATTGGGAGGAATCGACAATCTTATATAGCTGATCTTTCCCGCTAAAATAAGTGTCTTTCGCCCTAAATCAGTACGAAGTACTGTATTGTCGAGTCAACTTGCCACCTTTTTTTACAGTAAGTTATGTGCTAATCGGATACGAGTCACTGTAAAAAAAGGTGGCAAGTTGACTGGACAATACACCTTTTCACAGTATGTACCTTTACGGCAGAAACTACGGGACCAGCTTGCATATCGCGCTGCCTTGACTATTCCACGGACTGTTGTTTTCCGCTACTGTCCACGAGTAGTCTTAATATGTATGATTTGCACTGAATTTCGTTGCAGTCATCCCGGGCATGTTCCCCTTTCTGGCCTCTATGCCACATTTTTTTAGTGATGAGACCATAATCAGTTCTCTGGGAGGCTACGGTTACGGAGATCACGAAAAGTGGTAATTGAGCATACATTGCTTATGCAGCAGGCACAGATATACATGGAGAGCTTTTTTTATATGGATCCAGGTGCTGGTTGAACGACGAACAGACGTGGATTCCATGGGTGACCTTTATCGTACCTCTCACCGTCGCTGGTGTGCTGAATGTAGCGGCCGTGGTGTTATACATTCGCGACGAGATGGGTCAGTTAGCGTTTCTGCAGTAACGTATCCGGATTTCGGAACCTGGTGTTTTTTTTTTGTTATAGCAAAGAAGCGACGCCAGAAGCGGCTGGCAGTCTCCGCGGATATTAAGGTGGATTCTGGTGATCTGATCAAGCACAAGGTGTATGGAGTGATCATCAACACCAGTCTGATGGGATTGATTTGGCTGAGCGTGTGGCTGGCGCTATTCTCCTGCTTTTTCACGGACCCGACACCGCAGTATGTCGTCGTGTTGCTGCTGACGGTAGCTTGCGGATCCCAGGCAGTCTACGTTATCGTCTTCCAAGGAATTCTTGGGGATAAGAGCTCTAAGAGCGCTAGCAGTATTAACATCAGCGGTCAGACGTATGCCTCTTCTGAGCTTTAATGCCGCGCGAGATTGTACTTGTACACAGCAGAATCGATCTTCTTTGATGTTGGGGCTTATGACATTTGGGACTGAACTAAGTGTTGCAAACAAACCTAGCAAGGATACGAGAATGAGCGCCTTAAAGTGACACAGCGGCTTCGCAAAGGAATTAGCAGTACTACTGTTAACGTGTTTTATTCCTGCGCACAAGCCACAAGGATTGACCTTTATAGATGGTGTCTGCTGTCTTCACTGCTTAAATAAATCCAATAGGTTAAGTTATTAAAATAGGCCAATGTCAAAAGGAGGAAGGAAATTTTAGAGGAAGGAAATTTTGTGTTGTCAAAAGGAGGAAGGAAATTTTAGAGGAAGGAAATTTTGTGTTGTCAAAAGGAGGAAGGAAATTTTTGTGGGCCAAAATTATCTGTTTAAAACAAAAATTAATACAAAAAGATATGTTTTTGTTACAATAAAATTTCTTACAACTTCTCTATTTGAAACGACTTTGAGCAGTCAGAGTCAGAGTTTGAGCGGTCAGAGTCTGAGTCAGAGCTTGAGCGCGGGCCCAAAAGCGGCGACGCACATGGGTGCATTTGGCACAAAGCATCATTTCTCAAGAAACATTTTGCTTCGTAAAGGATGTCACTCTGCAATTCTTAAAAAAATACTTAAAATGAAAAACTAATTGTTTTATAAAGATTTTTAACCGGGTGAGACGATCTGCACCCCTTTTACTCGCATTTCTAATAGGTGTCCCTTTTGCGTCCTGTGTACCCTTTTGTATTATCTAATTCGCACCTCATTTTTTTCCGCGGAATGTAGGCACCTGTTTTTGGTTTTTTTCCCCAGAGGATTGACAAAGGTTTTTTACCAGTCTTTTTAGTTTACAAAGTTTTTTTGACTATCTAACATGGCTAGATCAGGCATTCATGAGAAAACGTAATATGCACTCCATCCAGCAGTGGGCCGGTTTTCCTGATCGGGCAGCACAGATCGAATGCGCACGGCATCTTCTACGTGCACGACAATCTCGCCGTTCCGGGCGGTTTGTTCGTTCGCTGGTCTGGCTTTCGGGCCTCTCAACAAGATTTAGTTTCTAGAATCTCTGCCAGCCAGGCACGTTGGGTGGGTGAATACTGCGTTCTTTGGCAGGTGCCCTTTCATACTTCACACTAAAAGGCGCATACAATTGGCCCGCATTGATGCATGCTGGCCAACCGTCGCTGCACAACCGGAAACTTAGCCGGAAGTGCAATCACCTTCTATGAATTCTTTGCTGTCCAGAAAATTCGACTTTACAACACAGCAACGGAAAATAGGGGTGGGGCCTATAGCTTTCGTACGCAGCAGGGTGCAGGTACTGCTTAATCGAAAAGGGGTGCCTGTAGTCTAACTGGTAAGTGGGTGCGGAAGGGTTCTATGCATAGCCATAAACAGTGTATGGCTATGCATAGAACTATACACATTTCCTTTTTTATTTTTCTACAAAACGGCAGTCATCTAGCAGTAACATGGAAGGTTATGAAACCTACGACGGTAGGCGATGAAGACGCACGAACGGCATAAGCAAAAAATTTTCTGTGGTATTTACCTATTTCGGTTTTCACAATTCGGAGGATAAGCATTTGTCTTAAGCAAAAGCGCTCTTTTAAGCAAAAGCATTCGTCTGGTTTCTTGTTCATTTTCGTGGAACGCGGTTGCACATGTTTCGAAACGCTATCGGTTATAAAAATTTCATTTCGTCAAAAAAATTTATCATACCATTGAAATTTTTTGAAACTTTCCTTCCTCTTTTTGACCCGAAAAATTTCCTTCCTCCTTTTGACCCGGAAAATTTCCTTCCAAGAAATTTTCCTTCCTCCTTTTGACATCGGCCATTAAAATATTGCATTGCGACACACTTTAAGTAGTATTATAGCATAAAGTAGTTTATCAGACGTGCGAAATTAAACCTGTAGGTTCGTCGAGAATGGTCAACTGCAAGAGGGGTAATAGACGAAATTAACTCAGCTGTCCGCATAAATAGTTTTTTTCCAATAAAATGTAAACTGAATTTTTGATTTTTAATAAAGTTTCTGAAATAAACTATCCGTGACACCCCACCGCGTGATAAAGGTCATAAAATGGTTAATACAGAGTTAAGACGTCATGCAGAGCGCTTCACGGTTATAGATGAGAAAGTACAGGACTCAAATCTGAATGTGTCTTGAGATTTCTTACTACTGACAACGGATCTGATTCTTCAAATCTAAATGTGTCTTGAGATTTCTTACTATTGACAACGGATCTGCACTAAGCATTCCGGCAAAACATGCATTTACCGCAAAATGCACCGAACTATCCTACGCTAAACATTATAGAGAACTATTCTACGTTAAACATTATAGATGGTTATCTGAATATGTATGCTGCCAAAATTCTTGTTATCTTTCTCCTGCTGTTAAAATCAGATTTAGCAAAAGAGGCCCGGCGGAAAAATATACTGCGAGCGCCATATTATCTCAAATATTTTTATTATCTGCGGCAATTAAACCCTTTCTCCTCCGCCTAGCGAAAGAACCACTACTTTGTAATATTTTTTGATAGTTGGGAATCACTGTAATACTACAATTAGCACCGTTTTGTCGGATGCTGAAACAGCAGCTTATTATCCCCGTAATCCGACGCCACAAACTGCGTGATCAACTGGATGCGTCCGATCAGCCGATCCGTGGCGTTTTCGCTCGGCCGTGCATACACCGTGTACAGCAAGCCCCCCGCCGGGATCTTCGCTAGGTTCACCCGAAAATCCGTCGTGTCGTTGGCCGGTTGGGCGTTGGCCGGATTGGGTACCAGCGAGACGATCAACGGCGCCACCGGCCGACTGACATTCCGCCCACTCTGCTCCACGGAAGCCTGCGCCACCAACGGACTCTTATTATTATCCAACGGCTGATTACACGCACCGCCCGGCTGCAGTTTAATCGCCGCGCGGGCGGTGCTGATCAGCTTGTTGGACAGCTCGTCCATATTGGGCGGAATGGGGATGTAGTTGCTAAAGGTCTCCGCGAAGAAGTTGTGGTTGGACTTCTGTCCGCCCAGTCCGCTGACCATGCCCTGCGCGAAGATGTTGACGGAGGGCCGGCCGCTGATGAAGATCTTCATGGCCAATCCCGGCACGATGTTGCGGACGTCGAGGTTCAGCCAGGATAGCCGGATCAGGCCGACGTTCTCGCTGCCACCCTGGAAAAAAGGGAAGTGCCGGGATGAAATCGTCATTTCGAACGTAAATTTCATTTTTTCTAATGTTGAAATGAATTTCAAAAGTTTAAAATTCATTTTTAAATTATGGAAAAGTGCTTTGAACCTGAAATTGGTTCACTTTCGACCTTATGCTAATGTGTCTTTTACAGCAAAGTTTCAAGGAGATCTGGTAATAACCAGACTTTTGGTACACACAAATGCATTTAAACTTTTCGCCCATTTTAGTTCGCCGTATCTCGGCAGCCGAATGTTGCGCGCGCAAACGGTTTTCAGAACAATGCATACAAATCATTTAGCTTTAGAATGACATAAAATACTACAAAAAAGTGATTCGGAGTCCGCGACAGCGAAAGTTTTAATGTATTGTACGGGGCCCTTTTTCCTAAATTGTTCTGTTCCTAAATTCGTTAATCTGCAAAATTAATTTTATTTCAAATCTTTTCAAAAACGACCCAGCGCTGTTAGAATTGCAGCCCTACCTTGAAGACACCGGTGTAGGTGCTGTTAGGCAGCACGGAGAACAACACCTTGGCAACGACCCCGAAATGGTTGAGGATCTTGTTGCGATCGGCCGGATACTCGTCAGACTGAATCGAAAACGCCTTGCCGGTGTACACCGGACTCAAGAGCAGCGGCAGCGTCACCTCCGGGTCAAAGTCTTCAGTGGGGAGCGTGGCGTTGGGAAGATAGCGGGAGGTCAGGATGTTCTTCCAAATCCAAGCTTGTTTGTCGGCCGCCGAGAAGGACACGTAATTATCCGGGAGCGTGTTGATGGCCGTTAGGTCCACGGCCTGCGACAGACCCTTAATGGCCTTGGCGATGCAGTCGCTGGCGTCGGCGTACTTGCAGGCCGGTTTGGAGGCGATCCATTTTACCACGGGGACATCCTGGACACTGCAGCCGTACTGCCGTAAGAAACCGTCGATGATTCGATCGAATTTGTCCTTATCGGCTTGCGGCAAGTGGGTCGGGTGGATGCGAGTGCTGGCGTAAACGAAGGGTTTGTCGCAGACTTTGGTCTGGGTGTTGGCCACGATGCAGCCGTAGTCCAGGGCGAATTTGTCGTCGTAGTGCAGAGCGTTCATGCTGTTCCAAACTGTAGAGAACTCACAGTTTCATATATGTAATAATAGGTAACTCAATATATTTCAAACTAATTACCCACGCTAAACCAATCTTTTATGCCTATCTGTATATAGATTCCAATACTATCTAATGTAAATTAGTTCAAAAGCCCCAAGTCCTCCGAACTTCGGAAGACTACGTAGTACGTATACAACATGTATGGACAACGAACTGGAGTGGTAAATGCTACAGCGTGCTTTTAAATGGGCGTTTCGTTGCGCTAGGATTTTAGAGCTCAGTTTTCGCAGTATTGGAATGCCCTTGTAAAAATAGTTCAGTATGTTACGCTAGCATAATCTGCTTTGAGAATTCTCTAAGACTAGCAAGAATTAACGTACTAGGCATGGGTTCGCCGGTCGTCCTAACGTCAAACCCGATCTGGGCCCCGTTCTCCCCCACCGCGCCACTCCAGAACCCGTTATGGCACGTTTTGTCCTTCTCCCCGTTGTACTGCGCGTACTGAATCCATTGCCACTGCGCGGAGACGGTGCTCATCGGCAGCTCTCCCGGACCGATATTGTTGACGTGGTACTGCTCGTTGACGGTGTCCGGCTCGTCGGTGTACAGTTTGCGGTACATGTACCAGGTCCCGGTTACCTAAGCATTACCATACATTTTCGCGAACTGGTTACGCAAAGTAACTGATCCACAAGAGCCACACCTTCTTTGGTTCGTGCCTCTGATCTTCGAGATGAGGAATGACCAGCGGCCATTTGCACTGCGAACGGGTAGTGACATTGCCTTTCTTGGCATTGGGACGCGCCACCATCTCGCGGAGACCTCTGATCATGCGGGCGGTGCACTCGGGTGCCGGTGCGAAAGGGCAGAAAGGGTCTTTCGTGACGGTGACCTTGGGGATATCCTTGGCCTTAATGCAGTGCGGGGCCAGCATCCTGTCGATGAGTTTGTCCATGTCCGCTTGTTTGGCGCTGTCCAGCCGATCCGGTGACAGCCGGGTGTCGACGTGGAGAAGAGGCTGATCGCACGTGGAGGCCACGACGTCCTTGCTCTTCTTCAGACAACCGTATTCGATCATCACGTTCTTGTTGTCAGTGTAAACCACGGTGTAGCTTTCCGGATCTGCAGTCAATTATTTCCCAAAAGCAGTTAGCCGGTATTTTTTGACACCAGCAAAAATAAATCACTGTCATGGAACTTACGAATAACCCCGGCGTCTCCGGCTGAAAAGCCGTATCCAGCCATGGTGCCGTTGTTGGAATACACCGACAAGTAATAATCGGACTGGCATTTGCCGTTTTCACTGTAGGCCGCGTTAGCCCAGTACGCTTGAGCGGGCTCACTGGTCAGCGGGATCGTGGTCGGGCCGACGATGGTGACGTTGAAGTAGATGTTGGAAGCCGGCAGCTTGTTAATGCCTAGTGATCGGTACCGATACCACACTCCACCATACTAAACACCAAAGAACTTTTAAATTCTAGCTATATATGGTTTTAAAAGCGTATTAAGGCGCTAAATTGGAGAGCCAAGTCCAAATGAAGTCACTTTTCGCGTTTTGGCGCACTGCGGAATATTGAAAACCCGGTTTTTAAAAAGGCATGCTCCTTACCGCCTCGGGTTGGGCTTTGACCTGGGCCGGCATAATAAAGGGGAATTTCTTTTGCGTACAGAGCCCAGATTTCGGTTTCGGTACCAGACTCCACCACACTACATAGGTACATGGAACAGTTTAAATCAGTTTTTCATTAGGTACGTTAAACCGATACGCCAGTTTTGACGGATTGCAAAACGGTCCTTTCTAAGACTGTCAGTGTACCCTTACCATTTTGAGATTGTGCTTGGTTTTGACGAAGATCACGCAGGGGATCCCCTGTAGTCTGCCTGGTTGCGGCGCATAAGCCATGACACACAACTGCAATAAAATCCGGCTGTGCAAATATATTTATTTACAACAACTGAATCAATGTATTGTACAGAATTAACGAGGATACTTTTAACAGACGATAATTCGATCGCATGTACCTGTTAAGATAAATATCCACCGCATTTTGACCAATCTTGCGTACAGCCTAGGCTCCACCGGCAGATAATATGCTAAATGTAGACGGAACCAGCTGTCTGCGTTTTCTACTTGCAATCAAATAAGCGACAAGTTGCCACACTGGCAGACCTGGGGCGTTTGTAGGAGCGTTACCAAACCACCTGCCGTTAATGCGTTGGCTGCGTTATGTTAAGTTGTTAACTCTCGTGTTGCTCCATCGTCACCGTGTCAAAGATCTTACAAGCAGTTTAACCGAGGCAATCAGGGAGTGTTAATAGCTGTCTAAGCAGCTGCAGGCCATGAAATGTGAAATGTCATTTTGCCTTTTCATTTATAAGGAGCATGAACACGTTCCTCGATTAACACGTTAGTGAAGTTAGTTTTCAGTATTAGACACAAAACTAAGGTTGACGTTAGCTCAATTCCGGCAAGAGTTACTGGCTCCCTAAAGTCTCAAGACCGTCGAAGGAATCAGTTTTCAGAAAAAAATAACAAACATTAGAAACTCAGTATAAAGATGTATAATTTGATAGCTTTCGCTTAAACTTATTTGATAGCTTTTACTTATTAAAATGAGAGATTAAATTGCAGCTTGATGTAAACAACGACTGTTTTCAGTTCCGGTCGCACGAGCATGGTTTTGTTAAGACCAGTTAATTCCGCCACCAACCACCCATTATACAGTAGCTGATAATCGTTGCCGTAATTACCATTAATTTATCCAATAGTTGTAATGTAGATATATACAAATTTTTACTATAGATAGTTGTTGTCGTAATTACTCTATATTATACTGCGTAGTCATATCGCGTGTTGGCCATTGGCTCCATTATTGGCCGCCACCAGAGCAGCCTGAGCTATGGATCGACATTCAAATAGGTCGACTGGACGATCCATTCGTGGAGGTGTCGATGCGGCCGGAACCAGCACTCCACCCAGCCGATATCGCTCTGGTCAACGTAGGTGGAATTCAAGTGGAATGAAAAGACGCCGTCCCGCGTGTTGTCCGTGATGCCTGAGTCGCTAGCGGAGGTAGGGAATAGACGCGCCGCGTAGGACGAATTGCGCGGTACGTTGGCAATGGGCCGGTTTGAGATGTCGCGTACCACAGCGCCGCCCACGGTACGGGGCGGGTCCGTCGCATTTCCCGTCCACCACGTCGGCAGATGCGAAGTGTAGGGCTCTTCAGCCGGCGCATTCAGCAGCTGACCCTGGTGCCGCCACATGTAATGGTGCCGCACGTTCTCCGCGACCTCCGGAGCCAGTGGCAGCCTCACCCGGCAACTTATGTTGAAGGTGCCCCGGTGACCGCCTCCTGGTTTCGCGGCAGACTTTCCGCGAAGACCTCAGCGACCCGTGTGGCGCGGGGAATCAGGGTGAAGCGCCGCAGCACGGTCGTCCTGGCCGCCGCATCCAAGAGGCAGATGACCTCACCGCAGAACTGTAGGGAAACGTTACGGATACGGAGCACCGCGGTCCCGTCGTCCAACTGCGCGAACTCGTAGTGCGGATGGGGCGCCAAGGGCTGGCCGCGTTCGAAGACGGTGCGGCCTTGGACGGTCCAGCTGATGCGGGCGGAGTGCCCGCCCACGGGAAGGGGACATCTGAATGTCACAGTTTCCCCCCGACGCGGTCGTACCACGCTGGCTGACGGTGACGCCGACGTTGTCGCAGTCGGTGGAAACGGCAGCGTGACCATGTTGTCTTCCATATTCTCCAATGCGCGCTCAATCATGTGAAATGCATTACCTACTACAAAAATTAATTTTACCCCGAAAAAAAAAGAATTAATACGTATTGACTTATACATGCTCAGATTGTAGTTATACTTATTAAAATAGTTATACACTTATTAAAATAGTTAATTATACATGCTCAGATTGTAGTTATACTTATTAAAATAGTTTACTTACACTTATACTTAATTATTGCATGATAATTAATGCTTGATTATTTAGAAAAACTACCGGTATCTCTTATCTAAACAAATTATTACTATGCAAAAGTGTTCGGATAAATACTACCAGGAGCCGAAGCATGCCAACGGCACAGTTTTTACACTATGTCTAAAACAACACTTAACATAATTTCCATTTCCTGCGTACTGCTTACTTGTGATGTACCTGTAAAGGATGTAGGAATCCGCCAATGGTCAGAGTTCGCAACCGCGGTCGTTTGCCTGGTGCACGCGCTGCACCGAAGATCTGGCTGCCAAAAGCACAGCAGCCAGCCGTAAACCGTCAATGTACGATGCATGGAAAGGAAGGAACCACTGTACGTCACCTTGGATAAATATTGTTATTTTGCGTACGTGTGTACTTTGCGTACAGTACTTGCGTTATTTTGCGTGACGATGCCATACGCACTGCTTCAATTTTATTATAGACATTTTTTTGCGGCGATTATATCGCCGGTTGCTAGGGAACTCGTTGATTCATCCTGGTGCATGGTACTGCGGTTCGGTCCGTAACCATTAAGCTCGTGGAGAAGCCTGCTTCAAATCAATTTACAATATTGGTACAGGTCCTATACCTAGACCAATTGATCTATACCATTGACAAGTTCTACTATGCAGAACATGGTGTGACACCAGCAACGCGTATAATTATGAGCTATAGCATCTTAATAAGACGGCAGTATGGGCTGTGACGAGCTGACGAACAAAGCTAGTCTTACGATGTCGTGATGCAAGAAATGCCGGGAATAGCAGCTGAAAGTTAACAGCTATAACCTTAATAGTAAAATTACAGCCGAAAGAGAACTGAAACCGAACCGAACGAAAAATGCAGCTCATCCCATCCACTCAGCCCAACCAAGTACAAGAAACTGACGAGTTTCGTACAGCACCACAACACTGGCCTACGGCTTCCTGTTGTGACCCATTCAACGTCGCTCCTAAGAGGACTATTATTAAAAAAAGTGTTATTTTATTATTAAGGCTATAGGTAGATTAAAAAACTGTTATTTTATTAAGGAAGTAGTCGTCAATATACATGTATTGTCATCGCATTGATGATGATTGATGGACCGCATATTTATTGGCGCACCTGCCATTGCGCTTAGTTATTTCAAAAAAACGTCCGACCAGAATTGCCATGCTAGCTGTTCAGTCGCAGCAGCATCTCGTTTCCGGGTTTCCAAAAGCAGACTTGTTACAAAAACCCGGCATCCGGTGTGCCGGCTGTCTAATTAGCTCATTCGCGATGGGCATTAACGGCACCAGTTTTTCCGGGTGACTCCAGAGAACTCCAGGACGGTTTAACCGGCAATCGGAACGTACCTCGCTCATTTCTACAGTACGGCAATAATATTGTATTTAGTATCCCGTGCCGATTCGGTTCCGTCAAGTGGTTGCCACGTTATCCGCATGGACAAGAACTTTACCAGCCATTCCGACGGATCAGGTGGTGACCCGCGTAGCGGAGAGATGTTACTTATATAGTATTTACTGGAGAAAGTATTCTGGATGCTTTCAAAAGCGGTTTTGGCCGTAGTTGTGGAGTTTTTCAACTTCGGAGGCTTCTGCTAATATTCTGGAGGTCTTCGCTGTTTTGTACCGAAATGTCCGTATGCCGAAATGTCTTATGCCGAAGTGTCCAATGCCGAAATGTCCCTATGCCGAAATGTCGGTACGCCAGTTTTTGTACGGATACTGAAGTATACAAAACAGCGAAGACCTCCAGAATATTAGCAGAAGCCTCCGAAGTTGAAAAACTCCACAACTACGGCCAAAACGGCGTACCGACATTTCGGCATAGGGACATTTCGGCATTGGACACTTCGGCATAAGACATTTCGGCATACGGACATTTCGGCATACGGACATTTCGGCATAAAGTCTAGTATACTGATAGTACCTAATCATGATTGAAAGAGCGGATAAACTAGAAGAAATTTTGTTACCTATAATATGTCAATGGTAAGAAACCTATAATATGTCAATGAATTTTACTCAATCTAAGAAAGTGAAGGGAAAACGCATAGAATTTCACAAAATTGAAAAAGTAAAAATCCTAAAACCTAGCAAACCAAAACATGCCAAACACGCAAAAACCAAAAGCCTTAAAAAACGAATGGAATGCAAAAAGACATAAGATGCAGTAGAAAACTTGAAACATCGTATGTAAAAATGCGAGGATTTGATAAAACCAAGGAACTTTAGAAAAGCCAAGAAGACCTAAAAACATATATAAACCTACAAATTCTAAGAAACCAAAGAAACGAAAGAAAACCTAAGAAACATAAGAAACCTAAGAAAACCTAAGAAAACCTAAAAAAACCTAAGAATAACCTAAGAATAACCTAACAAAACCAAACCGTAAGAAAAACTAAGAAACCCTAGGAAAACCTAAGAAAACCAAAGAAAACCTAAGGATAACCTAAAAACACCTGAAAAAAAACCTAAGAAAACCTAAGAAAACCTAAGAAAACCTAAGAAACCTAAGAAAAACTAAAAAACCTAAGAAACCTAAGAAAGCCTAAGAAAGCCTAGAAAACCTAAAAAGGTCTAAGAATACGCAGATCTAACAATACAAAGGAGACATAAAAAACTGGGACCGCTTTTTCATTTGTTTATAGCAAGCATTTTAGTGACGCTGTCCACACTACGCAAGCTGAATAAAGCGAATTTAAACATAAAATGTTAGAAAACAACAGTATAATGCAAAAATGTCCGTATGCCGAAATGTCCACGTGCCGAAATGTCCTCATGCCGAAATGTCCTCATGCCGAAATGTCTTATGCCGAAATGTCCTATGCCGAAATGTCACTGTGCCGAAATGGTCGGACACGCAAAAACTGTGTGGTGACACGTCCCCGTCAATGCGAACGCATCGGTGAGAGTGTGCTATCACACGGTTTTCCCTAATAAATTTCTTGTTTATTTTCGTAGTTATATCGTTTTTATTTTCTTTTTTTTATCATTCAGGTAACGGTTTAAAAAAACAACTTTTGGAAGGAAAAGGATATGATTGTTACTCTTATACTCTGGTCAGAATAAGACCATAATCCCAGCCGTATCGTAACGAATCCAGCAGGTTGTTTACTGAAGTAAACTGGCTTTTTCCGTTATCGCGATGCAACCGCAAATTTGTGGTAAAATTAACTTTGTGGCTGCTCTGAATAAGAAAACTTCAATTCAGTTAAGGCAGAGAACAATTACGATGCCGAAACAAAATAGTCTGCTGTCCGTACATATGTTAATGTAAACCTATTTTTTACTAGTACATTTATTGTAAAGTATTTATTATTTCCCACGGCGATCCACGGGTAACTGTGGTCAGTCCCGCGCGAACACCAGTGGATTTATTATCGAATCTGATTGGCAAGCTAAGGTCAGACGATTTTCAGCGCTGTTCTCTTACTTATTTTCGTAATATTAAAATGCGCGTTGGTATTTTTCAGCGGGCAAACAAATACTGCAGTTTCCTCATTTTCTGAGTCGTCTTGAAGTTGACACTGGATGCATGAATACTCCAGTTAACCGATACTTCGCTGCTACAGTACCAGCGTTTCTCCTGGTTTCTTATAAAATTTAAATTTTGTGGAGGTATTCTCAACAGGTTATTAGCAGAAGCATTTGGTACATTTTCCAAACGCAGAAACTAGTATATCTTCGAATGCAAATTATATATAAGATAACTTTACTGAATCTTAAGATTCTTTAACTTTACTGAATTCATTTACAAATTTCGAAAACCATCACCGATTGGATCCTGCATATATTTATTTGATTGGATCTTCCATTTTATTTGATCGAAATTGAAATTGATGAGAATGGAGTACGAGCTGGATGACTCTTGGGCATCTACCGAAATTACTTGAGGGGAACACTCTGTGTGAACCTCAGGTAACCGGGTAGGTCGTTTCTTCTTCGGCGGTCGACGTCGATTTTCGGAATAACTTGTGTCTGGCTTCCCACATTCTTTTGTAGCCACCGAAACAATCGACGATGTCATCTGGTCTCTTCACCTGCTCCGGTTGCGGAAAGGAGTTACGACGATGGGGGACACACAGGCCCGTCTGCCCAAGAAGCCTGAGTGGGGACCCCAAGCTTGTGCCTGTCAACCCTTCATCGGCTCCTGGCGCTCCTACTGCTCATTCCACTGCCTCCGTCTCTCAACCCTCCGGTCCGCAAGCACGCATATCAATCTCCGCTGCTGTATCGTCCTGGACTAAGCGAAGACTTATGCGGAGAATACCGAAAGCAGCCAGGCCTTCAGTCGCTATACTGCTAACGAAGCTGATGCGACGTGCAGCGACGGAAAACTCTTCGTCTTCATGGCTCCTTCTGCTGTCAGCGTCATCTGCAGTGCTGTCCCTTCCTGCCGATTCAAAAAAAGCTCGTAAAATTTCCCTGACTACTCACATAAAGAATCTTATCGTCCAGTTCGAAGAGGAAAAACTGGAAGGGACAGAAACGACAAAGAACCCTAAATCTCGGCGCGTTACGCCTGATGAAGACTTGGCCCGTCGAGTGGGAATCCAGATCGATGATTTTAACATTAGTGGTGCTGTACGCATGTAGCCGGCAAGAATGCTCACATGTTCACGGTTCACGCTGTGAGCATATTTGCCGGGCGAAAATGCTTGTGAGCATTTTTGACGGGCGAAAATGCTCACAAATGATATCATGCAGACATGCACGTAATGTGTTGAATTTTCCTTTATTCCGCTTGAAGTCTAGCATTCCTACTTTCTCCGTATGTAAAGTATGACTAAACTGAGGGGAATTAAAATGTTACTCGCTTAAAAATTAGTCTTCCTTAAATTTTAGTAAATTTTTCGTTACATTTTGAGCCAACGTCTGAATGGCAAAGCGAAATCTTATGCACCCATACTGGATAATTGCAGGCATCACACGGTTAGGCGTTTTGATACAGGCGGCGCAACATCCGGTAGAATACTCCCTGCCCGGCTTTTCTCTTTTGCAAGGGATACTGACTGTTTCGAATAATAATAATAATTTTCTCACTTAGTGATTTTTCGAGCAGCACAGGGTAGACGTGAATTACTGAATGTTTATTGATCGGATTCTTTATTGCATTAATGAGCATGGTGCCAGGCAGAGATGCTCACGTTTGCTACTGTGCAGTAATCGGATACTGCTGATGCTAGCCGCACATGCAAGCAGATCAGAGGCACTTGTCCTCTGCTTGGCTTTGTGCACTTTATGTTCGTGAACATGGGTGCCCGGCGAGGATGTTCACGTTTGTGAGCACGCGTGCCGGGCGGGGATGTTCACGCTTTTTTGCTTTGAGATCGACTTCAAAAACTTTTATCACATATGCAAAAGCTAAAAAAGATGGC